CTGAGATATCTTATCAAAAAAAAAAAGGTCTGAGATATGATTGACATGCAGGTTACACCAAAGGCGATTCGATTAAGGAAGAGATATCTGGAAGTTAACAAGCGCAAAGCCATGAGCAAAAGGCCAAAAGACTGAGCCTTTTCCTTAATACAATTTTGTAACTTTGTCAGTGTAGTGTACCAAAGTACACCCAATTCTTTAGTTGGCATAAATATGGTTCCATAATTTATTTATAGGATATCAACTATATGTTACTTTTGTTGACAATAAGGGGGCAAGGAGAGTCCATGTTTTTATTTGTATAATTCCCAAGAAACAAACAATTGCCATTATTTTAAGCAGCCTGTCAAAATTTATATCTATATATATATATATCTACTCTATGTAGTTCAATTATTTTGACAGGAACAAAATATCGGCGGGAGGGACTGCCCGGACTTTGGAAAATTTTCCATAAAACAATCCTACAATCCTGCCTTTAGTTTCTGTTGACGAGTGATGATTAATGCCAATTTGTGAAACCATCAGAGTATGGGGGTCCCTTCAAACTTGTGGAGACTACCTTAGCCAGCTTCTTCTCAATGGCTTGAGAGAAGCTGCAGGGATGATGTTCTTTCTTTCCAATTTGGATGCTTTGGCATCAAAGCAACAACTAAAATTTCAGGAGATTTAGTTGAAAACAAAAGCACTGAAATTCTTCTTTTGTGCCTCTGCTTGCTTGGGATTCACAGCATGAATGCAAGGACATTAAGTATATATTCACATCCTTACATTTTTACTATTAAATATGTTAATATGGCATTTTGATCAATTGAGATAGTGTGGCATTGTCTTGCTAATGTGGTGTTAACTATATATTGACGTGGCATTTATCATGCTAATGTGTTATTGATTGGCACTTGTTGACATGACCAAAAATTATTGATGTGGTATTTGTTGACATGGCTACCAATGGATGATCCTAAAAATAAAACAACAATAAAATAAAAATAAAAAAATAAGATAATAGAAAGAAATAATTATGATTTTTATCACATGATATCCAAAATAAATATAAAAATAAAATAACCATACAAATAATATAAAAATAAAATTTTAAATTACTAGAATTGAGGTAGATAAATAATTAAAGTTATAAGACAAAAACAAGTAGTACTTAGTTTGTTTTAATCAAATCATATGAGTGTTATGAAAATAGTTAAAATATTCTTATATTTTTAACTTTTATTCGAAATTTCAAATAGATATATTAATTTTTGAAATTGATATTTCATCTTCAAAGTGTAAACACCATTAATAGAGATTATAACAAAATTAAAATGTTTTTTTTCTTTATTTATTAAAAAAATTATTCTTATATTTTTAAAAAAAATTAAAAAAAAAGGAGAGCGCCGGGAGAGCACTGATCCCCACTTTGGGAGCACCAGAGTTGGTGCACCCCTCACCCCCTCTCTTGGGGAGCATCAATCAATCAGTGCTCCTTTTTATTTATTTATTTTTTTTTAAAAATATAATAATAGTAATTTTAAATTAATAAAAATATATAATAATAATTTTTAAAATTAATAAAAAGTAAAATTATCATTTCAATATTACTATATCATCAAACTAACAGAAACACTAATAATTGACTAATGGCTTAACTTATGTGTCTAACGGAAGATTTTTTTTGAGATAAAATATTTATTTTAAAAATTAATAAATTCGTTTAAAATTTCGATTAAAATTTAAAAAGGTACAGATATTTTACTTTATGAAAATACTTACAAATCTTTGATTTGTTTTCATAGCAAGGAGGAATAGGAATGGAAAAAGACTAGTCTACTTTGCATCTTTATGTCTTAAACACACAGTTTGCATGTTACAAGACATAATCTTTATATAAAGATATTATCATAATAATTATTTTATAAAAAAATAATTGTTTATTTCATAAGACATAACTTTTAAAATACAATATAAAAAGATAACTTTTTATATCAAAACTTTTTAGTAGTAATGTCTTTTTAACTGTTTCATAATTTTTAGATTTAAATATGATTTTTCAAATATCACTAACTTTTCACATGAATGATAATTTATAATCCAATAATCCGTGATATAACCTTTTCAAGCTATTTGACTTTTCAATAGTCATAACTTTTTACATAAAAAAATATAATTTTTCATTCATAACTTTTTATATAAAGAGACATAATTTTTTATTTTTAAAACATACCAACAATTGGTACGTTACTTTGCAATTAGTAGAAATTGATTCTTGTTTCAATTATGAATGAAAGAGTACTTTTTTTTAAAAAAAATAATTCTTATTAGTTAATAATAATAATAATAATAAACATAGAGACAAAGAAAATTTTATATTCAAATCAAATGCTTAAAATAATATAAGGTATCTCTACAACCAAATAACTAGCTTACATGACATACATTTACACTTCATTTTGTAATAATTATTTTATTTTATGACTTTTAAATTTTAATAATAAAATTATATATTTTATTAACAAAAAATAATTTAATTTTAATAATTGATTTCCTCAATCGTTTTTAAATGAGTTGTCAAATGCGTCTTGTTATATAAAATTTATTGGGATTTGTTAAATAGATTTCATAAATATTTCATATACACATTTAGATTTTAAATATATTTAATTAGCGGAGTGTGTTCATTATTTATCGTAAACAAATGTGAATCCGAATCGTCAACTGTCGAGCCTAATAATGCATTAAATTAGCATTTAATTAAAAAGGGGCCATTAATGGATAGCAAGCAAGCTCCGGTGTAAATAGCTGGATTTGAGTGGTTGGTCGTTGACTTGAGTTTGCGTTGTAGCACAGTAGTAGAGGAGAGAAGCGAGAGAGAATGGAGCATCCATACGTGCCGAGAGATCTGCAACTGCCTGGATATGTCGCCGTCTCCCTCTCGCAGTCCACCATTCTCGGCGTCTTTGGTCTGGCTTCTCTGTTTGTCGTCTCGCTTGTGTGGATCGTCTCTGGTTTGGCCCCTCTTCTTTCTTATTCTTCCCAATGCTTTTTTATCACAATACCCATTGCTCTTGCTCTTTCACTAGTAGCAAATGTATTTATTTGGGTTTACGTATGAGTTTGATGCCAAGTGAAAAGGGGAGTTGCCTGACTTTGTAAATTTCCTTCCTATTGACGTTAAAGCGCATCGTAATTTTATTAGCTAGTGGTAATTGCTAACAATACATTGAAAAAGCCACTAGAACATGATGCTATCTGGATCTAGTAAGAGAAGAGACTGAAACTGTCTTGAAGCATCCAAAACAGACATTGCTTTGGCTAAGTGGAACACCCTTCTGTGGTAGTTTAGGAATTTATAGGAGAAACCCTGACCCTACCGGCCTGATGATGATTTTGATGGTTACTGATTAGACAATAAATGCATGCAAACTCGCTGTTTCATTTAGATATTGCTTTTTGTACCAGGGAGATTGCGCAAGATATCTAACCTTGATAGATTCCTCATGTGCTGGTGGGCTTTCACTGGACTTACACATATGATTCTTGAAGGTTATTTTGCTTTCTCTCCTGAATTCTACAAAGACAAGACAGGATTTTATATTGCTGAAGTCTGTAAGTTCCTTTTCCCTTGTTCTTTTTATGACAATAGCGGTTCTCAACGGTTGCTCTAACCTTCTTGCTGGCCTTAAGTGTACAATTTACTCACGATTAAAAGCTGGCAGGGAAAGAATACAGCAAGGGTGACTCAAGATATGCGGGGAGGGATGCTGCAATTGTTACTGTTGAAGGAATAACTGCAGTTCTGGAAGGTCCTACTAGCCTTCTAGCAGTGTAAGATTTGACATTACAATACTGCCCAATACAAATACAAGATTCAAGTGTCAAGTTCAATTTACCAATGCCATTTATTCCCTTCTGCTTTTATTATTCTCATTGTAAAATGTTGTTGGCTATTTGGCAGGTATGCTATAGCCAAAGGGAAGGGGTACAGCTACATACTCCAGTTTGCCATCTCCATGGGACAGCTCTATGGAACTCTTGTATATTTCATAACGGCTTACTTGGATGGTGATAACTTTGCTACAAGCCCATTTTATTACTATGCATACTATGTTTTTGCAAATTCCTTCTGGGTTCTGATACCCTCACTCATTGCTGTCCGGTGTTGGAAGAAAATTTCTCTGGCAGTGCACAGCCAAAGCCAGAAGAAGAACAAGGTTCGCTGAGGAAGTCTGCAGAATATACTCTCTCTTTGCTTAACAATTAGCTTTATTTGTGCACTGGAGCAGGCAATCTTGAAATAATCTAAGCATTCGAGTTTAAAAAAGTGTCATTTTTTTCATTTTTGGTTTGGTGTTTTCCATAAGTGACTGGTAATTGCCTTTAATGGAATGCATACATTTGTGTATCAATCTTCTTCAATTTAATTTGTCACAATGTTGCTATCATATAACCTGCCTGAATGGATGGTTATTTTCTAGTGGAAGCAATCACCGGCTTGCATAGCAAATAATGATGTGGAAGGTCTGTTACTATAAGCCTTGACTATTATTGGTGCTTAGCTGGTGCATTGCATTTCATTATGCAATTTCAACTTCCTTCAGCTGCTTAATTGCTGCTATTTTAAATGTCATCTTCTTTGGACCTATATGAAGTTTGAAAAGAGAAAGCTACACTTGTTCTTTGTAGCACAGCAAGCTATTTTCATTTATCTTTTTCCTAGTCTTCCTTTCTATTAGAGTTAATTTGTCATTTGGATGCATGTTTGTGCCTGGATATTCTGCACTAAACTATGTCCTGAGAATAAGGATCTGAAAATGGCAAAAAACCCAGTTCTCTGCTTGGCTGCAAAGTAGCATCGCTTGACATGGTCCTTTTGTTTTTGTCTCTTTTTAGCACTTTATTTATTTGTTTTCTTTCATTTCTGGCTCTGGGGCATCCAGACCTCAGATGCTTCTTTGGTGCAAAGAGTTGATTCCAAACTTCTAACGGATGAATCCATGATGGCCATCTTGGCCAAGAAAAAGGAACTAAGGTAAAAGAATTGATAGTCCATCTTCCTTCCCCCCATCCACACCCCACCTTATTTTTTTTCAGTAGCCTTGAGGAAGTCCATCTTCCTTTCTAACATATTTGGCTGCTTGTTTTTTGTATTGCTGTTCCTTCAACTCCGGTTAGAGCAATGTGCTCAAGTGCTTATCTATTGCAAGTTCTATGGCCTTCACTCAAACGGTGTCAGTGGCTTCTTTAATTTGTTTTTCTATTCTATTAATTACAGAAAATTTTTCTCATAATTCAAAAGATCCACAGATATGTTGGCTTCAACTGTGGCCACTGGCACATATCCAAATGAGGGATGATTCAGTCATCTTGAACCCTGCCATTGGTCGTTTTTCATGGTGATGAACCTTTTTTTTTTGGGTTGGATGGAGTGAGGTGGGCAGCTCAAAGCCTTGAAGCAAAAGTAGAAAAGAATTAACCCGTGCCTGAGCATCATCGTTTTCTCGGACTACTTTTGGGGAGTGAACCTGTGGATCATACTGACCGTTGAATTGACTATCAATCTTTGGTAAAGGTTACAAAAAGAAAATTCCGTAATTCAATAGCGGTCTTTTATTGTGGTGGAGCCAGAGGAATAACGCGTCGCACCTGTTACTGTTGGAGTACTTAAGTTAGGCCAGACAGGGCCATCTTTCTTTTGTGTGTGCCTCATGCTTTTGGTGAGTTTGGCGTTGCCCCTGAACCTTCTTATATTTTCTTCTCTTCTCATTTGCTTTCTTCCCAATACAAGACTAGATTTGGGTTCTGAAACTGAGCAATAAATAATATGGATTGGAGTTCTCTGGAGCTCAAAGTAATTTCCTGCACAGATCTCAAGGCCTTCAATTTCTTCCAGAAACTCTCAGTCTACTCAGTCGTCTCTATTGTGAATGAACAAGCAAAGAAGAAAGAAGAGCAACACAAACGTCTGCAGCGTCAGAAAACATCTATCGACAGAGGAGGCAAGAACCCTGAATGGAATCATGTATTTCAGTTCGATCTCAAGAGCTTACCTTCAGAGGAAACTGATCGTCTTTTTCTCAAGTTTGATTTGCGTCATGAAGGTTTAGTTGGCAGAACAATCGGCGAAGCACGCGTTCCGTTAAAGGATTTGATAGAGGAATTCTGTGGAGTTGTGAGATTTGTCAGTTACCAGGTTCGAAACAGTGATGGGAAGCCTAACGGGGT